AGAAAGACAAAATTTATACAATCGAAAATAATCTTAAAATGGATCTAAAGTCGCTGTGCACAAACGACTTCAAATATTCAAACACGAGTCTCGATCCTCCCAGTCGGATTTCATCTACATTGCTGCACAGTAAAGTGCAACCAATTTGTCTATGACAATGTTCAGGTCACAAATCATCAGTATAGCACTTGTTGAATCACCAACCTTCTTTCAGTTGTGCTCTCTAATCCTCAACTGCTGCCAAATGTAAACGTCTTCACAAAGTCATTGATGTACTCGTAGACGTTGTCGTAGACCGGTACTTTCGACGTTTGGCCTATTTCTTCCTTACTTTACTCGTTTAATATTTTCTACATATACCCTTCCTTGTCAAACGGATCGCTTATCACTCGTATTTTGATTCAGTATTTATTTTTTCAATAGCTCTTTGTCCCAAGGAACCCCTCAATCTATAAGACCAAACAGTAATTCACATTCTAGGTTTTTGCTCCTCCCCAGGCGTCAACTGCACATTTGACCAAGGCACTTGTGGGTACGTCCAGCCTGTCCAGTGGATAACGTCATCGATGTCAGCATCAGGCCATGCACACATAGCAGTGACAACTGACCATACGGGTCAAGGGGCGTTCCTATACTTGTCGGAGGACATGAGTGCAGGTGAGAAAGAGGGAGGAAATTCTTCAGGAAACAATTTGAACAATTGAGGGATGCAGTTGAACATGAATTGTCAACATCCTCAGTTTGCGTTATCTCTCTAAATAAAGACAGAGTGGTGGCCTCAGTAGTTAATACTAAAAAGGTAGCATTTGTATAGCGCTAATTCCCGCTCAACATCAAGCAAGCTCTGTGTAGTGTACAATCTATATTATTACCCCAGCCAACCTATTTGGTTTTGTCTAGTTCTCTACGTCCTCATCGACCCGTTAAAGTGAGACTGCGGGTTTGGAAGTTCGAGGACCATCTCGCTGCGTCCTTGGAAAGAGATTTTACATGAATGTTCCTATTTGGCTCGGTCATGTCGGAGATGAACAATACACTCGGAGGTTCCGCCTCTTTAATAACTTTACAGTGTCGCTTGGAGTGTTGAACATAAAAAAATATCTACATTTTCGGAAGCGGACAGGAGCATACCTGCAGGAGATATATCCCTAACAATCGTGACTATCTATAATCAAATGTACAATTGTTATGTTGATTTCAGTTAATATGTTCTGTCTATGGCTTATTATGTCTTTCCTTCTCTTTTATTTCTTTCTCCAGGGGTATTCCAAGGTAACTGACGGGACATTTGGACTATTTTTTTCTTACAATGATAACACTGTAATTCAATATCAATTAATTGATTTCAACTTTGAATGATCAGAACATTGGAAAGATATATTAAGATACTAATATAAAATGTTTTCGTTATTTTTAATCAAATTATATTTTTCTTCTTCAGACCTGAGCTCCCGCCCTATTGACGCGGGAAATGTGCCTCAAGTTTGTCTCTCGTTCTACTACATCCTGTACGGGTTAGCTAACCAAACCCTCAATGTCCAAGTCCTGTCTAGCGACGGATCCCAGACACCAGTATTCAGTAGGTCTGTATACCACAAAACACTGTGGGAGAGAGGGATTGCCCAGTTCTCTCCAACCACTGTCTTCCAAGTAAGTCAGTTTCATTTTTTCTACACTAATTTGTACCGTCTGTGTCTTTTTTCCATTGGCTGTCATCCAAGTGAGCTAGCTTCATTTTTGCCTATACTAGTTATTTACCGTCTGTCTTTATTAGGATGTTTTCGCAATTGTTAGACAAAAGGGTAGATGGAGATGTTCCCCCAACAGGCACAATTTGTATACTGTCCGAAGTGGGCTTCGACTCTGTCTATCAGGACAAACAATGTCCCAGTAGAAAAACTGAGACACTCGATTAAAATTAATGTCTCCCAATACGGGAATTAAACTCCGGTCATCTCTCTGAGACAACCAAGTGCGTGACTACTACACCACAGACCTTGATACAATGACTTCATCTTCAGTGGGTTACTATGTTTTTAGCTGTGCCTGCATCTACGGTCAGATTCTATTTTTGAGTCTGTTTAGATTGGAGGGAATGGCGTCGGAAGGAGTAGTCGTAACTAGGTGGGAAGAGGGATAAAATTCACCATCTCACAGAGAACAAAGTTGATAAAGCTTTATTCTTCTTTATTTCTCTCAGCCAATAAAAGCTGCTATGTGTACTCTAAAACAAAGTTGTGAGCTTTCGCTTCCAGAAACTACGCAAGTACAATCATTCTTAGCTCCTAAATGACACTTGGTAGAAAGATGAGAACACTTTATTTAAGGCTTTGTATAGTGCGGTGTCGTTTGAGAAAATGATTTTTTTTAAAATACACCCCCCCCCCCCCAAAAAAGCAACAACAAAAACAACAACAAAAACAAATAACTTTCACCTAAAAAAACATAAAAAGAACACAAAGAAACCCAAACAAACGAACCGGTCTGTCGTAAACCTGGTTCAAAAGTCCAGCGTCAAAATGTCGGACTCTGCCTGAGAATTTATAACCAAGGGTATATACAAAACATTAAACTGTTAGTGTAGTGTGTCCATCCAATGAATGAAGCAATTGCCTCACAGAATAGGATACCAGAGTCTGTGGTGTAGCGGCTAGGCACTTCGCTGTCGCATGCAGGAGACCCAGGTTCGATTACCGAGTGGTTAGAACATTTTTTATTCAGCTCTTGCTTTATTCTGCTGATGTTGTATTCCTCTCATCCAGGGTTAGCCATGACAAGCAGAGTCGGAAGCCTGTTCTAAATTATCTATATTATGTCAATGGCGGCAAAAAAAACCCCGCCAACATAAATCTTTAAAAAACAACAGAATATGACTATGAACTTCAATGCCATCTTATTTGTTTTCAGTTTCCACGTCGGCGTTTGTCTTGTACGGTTAGGCTCTTGGCCTTTGGTCACAGAAGACATGAGTTCGATTCTTGAGTAGGAAAGTTGTTTTAATGTTTGCTGGGATGTTCTACCCCATTCTACCTGTATCAGCCCTGGGATGCAGGGTTGCCACAGTCCGTCCCATAAATTATCTAAAGTGTGTCAACGACGGCGTAAAACGTTTACAATTAATCATGAATTTAATTGTTTCAATATCAATGTTTGATAGTGTGAGGCTGTCTTCTCACCACATTGAGACGGTACCCATTTTTCATAAACTCGATCCACACAGTTGAGTGCCCCTGCACTACACTAGCTCAATCCAGACCAGTGAGTTTACGTCTGGTCTCTTTTTTGTCTTTTCAGATCATCTTCGATGGCACGAGTGACAGGGGGAATAGCTACAACACCGGGGCCTTCATTGCGCTGGATGACGTCATATTGTTACCCTCCAGCTGCCCTCTTCAAAGTAAGTAGGGCCACTCTTGTTTAAAATATAGACATATACGAGTACGTATAGACGTCCATACAATCATATAGACGGCAACGGTACTTTTTGTTCATTATTTTCTGTAGCAAATGGCTATGTATCGTAATCAATGTGTGCGTGTGTGTGTGTGTGTGTGTGTGTGTGTGTGTGTGTGTGTGTGTGTGTGTGTGTGTGTGTGTATGTGTGTATGTGTGTGTTTGTGTGTGTGTGCGTGTGCGTGTGTGTGTATGTGTGTGTGTGTGTGTGTGTGTGTGTGTGTGTGTGTGTGTATTTGCAATGTGTTTATTGGTGAGGGAGAAAGGGCCACAGAGAGATTGGGAGAGAGAGAGATTGGAAGAAAGAGAGAGAGAGAGAGAGAGAGAGAGAGAGAGAGAGAGAGAGAGAGAGAGGGGGGGGGGGGGAGGTCCATTCACATGTCGGGATAACTTTTATTGAGTGCTGTGGTTTTTCTCTTGAGATGTTGTATCCCTCCTAGCCCAGATTGGTCCTGGAAATCAGGGTCGAAGCCCGCCTTCTAAATCGTGGAAATTGTGTCGAAGGGGGCGGAGCCACCAACAATAAAACAAAAATGAAACAAAAAATAAACCAAAACACACCTATCCAGAAACAGGCTAAACTGTCCAATACAGGGGTTTAAAGTTATTGTTGTTTTTGTTTGTTTGTCATTTCTACGTTATCATACAAGAATTTGGAAGTGCTCTACAGGTTATGTAGATCAACTTCTTGAAAGATGCATTAAGCTTGTCATGATCGCTCGCTAAGTTTATGGACTCTCCTTAGGTGTTTGTGACTTTGAGGTCGATTCCTGCGGGTTCACTCATCTGGCTCCCACATCGTTCACGTGGGTATTGACCGATGCTTTGTCCGGGGTCACAAAGACGGACCACACAACAGGAAATGTAAACGGTGAGTTTCTGTGATTCAGTTCATGCTAATTTGTTAGCTGTTATTTTCTGCAGGTATTGCAAAAGGCGAGGTAGTGCTATTCTGTCTATGTTAAACCTGGACAAAGATTAAAAGATAGACCATTCCTCTCTTTGAGCAAGTAAAAAAGCGTCTTCAAAATCGCTGGTGGCGCCACCTGGGAATTTGCACCGACTTGGTGAACGGTTGATTATTGAAGTATAGCCCAGGTATCAGAGAAACCCTGTCGCTACACTCGCCCTCATTGAAGTTTCATGCGACAAAATTTCATGGTTGAACTTTGTCTTGAACGTATGAAGAATGTAGCAACGCGTGAAGTGTGAGTTGTGATCGCGCCAACAGGCAGCCTTCTTGTGCTCATACTATTTTGTGGTGCTTTTGACTGTTTTAATTTCTGGACATTAAAAAAAATTATACCATCATGTGTGTTAAGATTTTGTGAATTATTTGATATAAACTTTTCTTGAAAGGATGAACATTACCAGAGTTATTTCAACTTTTCTGTGTTGATGGACAAGTGGAGTCCGTGTTGGTCTACTTGTTTTACTCTTTTTTAGGTCAGGTCTCTTTGTTAAAATGTCCAACGAATTTGTTTTGACAAGTGAACACTTTTTTTTCAAATGGACTCCCAGCCTGTGGTGAGGGTGGCTCTAACACA